GGTTTGCTTAATCAGGTTACTATGGCATCTACTTGTTTTAATTGACCGTGGTTCGTGATACGCGGTAAAAGGAGCACAATGTGTGCGTTCAAGCCAGGCTTCATTGATTGGTCGGATAATAATCCTAGTAAAGTTTATCTCTCGACAGAGATTGGCACGCGAGATATGCATCGAAAAAAAACCCTCGATAATATTTCTAATCATAATATTAAAGAGAATCTTATTTTCGAACGCCATGAATTTGATTGGACAATTTAACGTTAAAGACTTGCTTCTCGTAAATCGGGATAATAACCGATCGAAATTATCGCGTCGTCGAGAAACAAAGGGGTACAATCGGGGAAAGGGTTCGACACCGCGTTAATGACCGCATTATCGAAATGGAGCATCGCGCGTCGAAGGATTTAATTACCGTCTCCCTTCGGTCGTTCGCCTTCTCGTTTCTTCTTCTTCCTCCTCTTCTCTCACGTGCCGCTATATCGCTTATGGACTATAGCATGCGGGCTGGTTATGGACTAGTTAGTCGCTGCACTCCCGGGGAGAGTGGACTTTCAGGCGCCTCACGCTATCGTTGCCGATAGACTCCGCGGCGCCTTTTTTTCCAGCCCCCTGCCCTCAACCTGCCCTGCCTCGCCCTGTCCGTGTCTTTGTCGATTTTTTCCCTCCTTCTCCTACTCTCTTTCTCTCTCTCTCTCTTTTCTTTTTGCGTACAAGCGAGGCAACACGTGCACGCACGTACAATCGACCAGCACGCGCGAGCGCGCTCTATCATTTTGTCATTCGATTTTTCTTGCGCGACGAGGCTCGACGGAACAAATCCCCTTCGAGGGCGGCCAGGAGACCTTTTCGGCTCGCGTCACGAGAAGCGCGGTCACGCACCCGCGATGGATCGATGGGCGCATTGTGTGTACGCGGACTCGAGGTAAAAAAAATTATAATTCCGTAAACGATGCTCGACACAATAGCCATTCCATTAAATATTATATCACGCGCGCGTGCAATTTTAATTAATTTATGGAAATATCAAAGATGCGATGCTCTTGTGCGCGAAAAAGAAAAAAAAAACAACGTTACGACGAGGAGATATTTCGCGTTATGGCTGCGTATGGACTATATTTTTGACTTGTGTACGTCGGGGATATTTTTGCGCAATCTTGTTCGGGTTATTCTCAGCGTGGCCTCGTAACGGGAAAGAGGGACGGAAAAGGACAGGTCGACCGCGAATCGGAAGCGCGCCCTTTCGCTGCGGAATCATTGCGGTAAATTATTAACGTCGCGTGTGTGCCGGTATCTACTGGGTGATATCGATTCCGCCGTCCTGCTTTTTCATCGCGTGCGTATGATGCACACGCGGCATCTAGATATCGCCGCGTCGCTTTAATTCCATTTGCATCCCGCCGACATTGTTATTAACCCCGGGACGTACCCTCAATCTTCCTTCGCAACGCATTAGGATTCTCTCTCTCTCTCTTTCTTTTTCTCTGGCAACAAAATAATTGCCGCTGAATATTTATTTTCGCGTTTTTTACGATACCGCGAATTGATTAGTCCAACTGACATTCACTGTTATTTGACACGTGTTCGTCGCTCTTATTTATAGGAATGACACAAATTGTACTGGAAGGTTTCCATAACAACTTCTTTATATCCATATACTTATCTAAGGATGTTTTGTACCTATTTTTAAAATATTGAGAATTTAATGAAAATTGTACAGAATGTCTTTACATATGTTTAGAATTTTTAGTACAATTTTTAAATCGATTCGCTAAAGCGTTCACGAGTTGTAAGGATTTTAATTTGCACCGAATTAACATGTGTTCTTATAAACGTATAACCACGTCGATTCAAATGACAAAAACACATGGAAGTAATATTCAGAATTTGTTTAAAATTTGCAAAAGTTTAGATACAGAGGAAATATTTGATCGAATAACATTATACAAGTACTGGTTAAAAAGATATTAAATATAATTCAATCAAGTTAGCCGTGTATCTGTCACAAGGCGAAATTCTCTGTCAAAAGTTAATCATTTCCATGAACAAAATTCGGAATATTTCAGTAAAAACGCAATAAATATTAAAAAATACATCTCTGCACTGTAGCTAAAGATCAAATTGTAATATTCCACACAATTTCTCATACTCAAAATACAGCAAAAGTGGATATTCGTCAATATTGATTTTCAACTACTTTTTGCTGGGATTGTACATACAAAACCTTCCTTAATAATTAATGCAATTGTGAGAAAAATAAAATTATTGCATACTACTCGATTAATTGTAATGTATAAAAATGGATAAAATAATATTTGATATAAAAGATAAAAATATTTACACAAGGCTATTTTCCTGGAATAGAAATTATTATGTGGACAATTTAATGGCAGTATTTTATCCGCTTGCGGCATCTGATAGAGTGCCTTGTCACACAAGTGGGTAACTAAGAAGAGCCATGCAATCAAAGACGTGTAGAGAGTCGAATCTGTGATTGCCAATTACTAGATAACAGTTCTGGCAGCGAATTGATCGTCGTCACCCCTATTGTGCGTCTAATAGAGCAGTACAGTTTTCACCTGACGTGTTTACAGTTGAATAATTATTTTCGATTTGCTCATTGCTGTCTAAGTATTAATTGACAAATATTTAACTCGCGCGTGTTTTACCGTTATGTACCGCGATTGTCCGACATGAGAAAACGATTAAAACCAATTCAGCTCTTTCGTCATATGGTTGCATGCGTTATAATCGGCCTCAGTCTCGAATACAACGGGTACGACCTAATTCAGATCGCGCGTTTCGTTTGCATATTCAGTTTGCATATCTTGGCGAGTACAAAGAGTGCGCTTTACCGCCACGTTGCGGTTATAAAACTGCAGTTAACGTTACGCCACGTCTCGTGGAAATGTGCGGAATTGTAAGAAGTCTGATCATTTAAATCCGAGGATTTTCAAGAAACTCTGATAAATGATCAGACTACTATGCGCAAGGAGAATGGATACATTTACATGAAATAAGAATAAGATACGAGAACCGTCATACAAGTTTATAAATTATTAATTTTTAATTTATCAAAAATAAATAAAACGAAATTTAACTTGTATTAAAAAATATCTAGTTATATCGAGGAAGTAAAAATAAATTTTTTAAAAAATAGGTGATAAAATTAATTAATATTTTATTTATTATAAAAATACATTTATTAGGAAAGCGAGAGAAGACCGAAGAGAGAATTTTAAGCTGGATATAACGTCACGATATATTATAATTAGTGACACTGATACACACTCATGCACCATACGCTACCTTGTTAAATATATATCGCGCAATTTCTCTCTGCATTCTTTTGTAACTGCCTGTAACCTTATATTATGATGTTCCCATTGCTAGTTTTGTATGCCGCTCATGTAGCCGCGATTTCTATGCTAAACGCATCGCGCAATCGCCGGCTATACATGTCGACAAATGATCCCCAACGAGGTTTTCGTTTCGTTTTCTTCCCGCGATGATAGCTTCGCAATTTGACACGACCAAATAATTTCGAAGCAAATAATTCGTTCGAATATAGATATATCGAAAATATGAACCGTTTGTATGTGAACTTCTATTAACGAAGCTTATGGTTGCCAATATTATGGGGATACATCGCATGTGTGATTACCGGAAAAGCGAACGCCATTGTGTGGTTAGCTTCACTGTTCTTTGATCAAACAGACTGATTATGTAATTAATTATTTGCAATTCAATCATATTACAGTAAACATTCCGGACTGGTGAACAGATAAACAACGATTATCGCATCAATTTATATATATAATCTCGTTCTGCATCGATATTCTATCGAGACTTGATTTGTCAATAAATTTATCAATAATGTATGGCATATAATTATACGATCGCGAGAGAGCAAGTCAATGAATAACCCCCCGTTATCGATTCGATTATGTATTATTTTTATTTAGCACAAGCACAATTTCTTTGCCATGTATATTTATGAAGCGTGAAACGCATTGTGCGCTTTGTGCTCCTCGTACGTGACTCTCCGGATTTGTTCCGGACATTTGAACGTTAACAGAGTCTTGTGTTGACCGACAAAAATCGATGTATTAAAAATTTAATCGCGTCTCGGGGAGAAAATTGAGACGTTAATGTCAGTCTGTATTTACCCTCGCGGCCCCCACTCGAAGGAACCGCGCTAAATCTCTAATTAAGCAATGAATCTCTGACGGCGTGCGCGCCCTGCGAGAGGATCCCGACGCACGTAAGAAAGAATTATCGGCGACTGGCGCGGGGAATTAATCGTCGCCTCTATTTTCGAGCGAATAGTAGAATAATTAAATTCCAATCCCGTCGGGTTTATCATTCCATAGATATTTCCGAGGCGCTTGATCGGCAATTAAGCGCGATTCCCACCATTAACTCGATCAAAATAGCTCCGTGTTTTCCTTTCACTTGTATTTCCGACGTTTCAAAATAGGTTTAGGTAAGACTATAAGTGAAACTCCGAGACTCTGAGACTAGGGAATTAACGCTATTATTTAATATAATTTTTCATCGATCGAATCTAATTTTTCGCGGGACACTGATAAATTCATTTGCCTCAGCACGCGTCATAGGATTGGATAGATTGTGCGGCATCATAATTCATTGTCCGTTAAATCGCCTTGTTCGCCTCAGTGACGTCGACGGTATGGGAAAGCCATTTTACGAGCAACGGTCTTTTATTGCTCTTATCCGGCGTTTTCGTCAAAGGAATCGCGACTGTCAACGAGGTCGGGAGCGTATGTTAATTTATCGCGGCTTTTACGAGTCATAATCTTGGCGAGCGCTCCATGCTTTGTGCGCTAGAGACGACGTTTTGTTCGAAATTATGATAAATTCCGCGACCCGATTATACGACCTCGTTAAATAACATCGGCTTCGTTGTTTTCATTCGCGAGCACGAGTTTCGCGAGATACGAGAGTTGCATTTTCTGACGAGGAATTTCTACATGTTTCAGGAATAATGAAGAGGGAAGCCGAGGCTGGCGCTATGACAGGTTCCGGGGGTCCAACGAGCCCCCACAAGCGCTATCGACAGGGTGACGATGAGCTCCGTCTTCTCATCCCGAGTAAGGTGAGTATCGTCGATCGATGCACGCCACGATATCGCGAAATTAATGCCTTAGCCTTCGACGATATGCAACCAACGAGGTATCCTCGATGCGGAAAATAAATTGCAAAACTTTGGGAATATAAAGATAGATGGGATAACACAACTTTCATGTTTATTTTATAAACACAAAAGGAGAGAGAAAATCGTTAATTATTTATAAATTATATTTACAGTTTTTTTTAATCTTTGCAATGTTAAAATGCTAAAAGAAACAAGTTTTCTCTATAAAACTTTTTTTCTTACGTTCACAAACGTTTAATAATTATCTAAATATGAAAAATTGCTCCTGTTTTCAAGAAATAATTTTATTCTCTCGGAATGAATTTGCAGGCAACAAAAGTAGCGCATTATTTATTAAGAGACACTCTTAGTAATTTACATATTCTCAAAGTTCAGTAATATTTTCATAATTTTTTAAAATTGGAAATCTCTTTCGGGGACGTATTTGCAGATATTGGCAGGTTAACGTTTATGTTGAAATAATACGGAAATATTCGCGTCTGAATTTGCCTTTTCCCGGATCGGAAACATAAAGTCGACAGTCGTCGACGACGCCCCCGTCTCCTTTCGGCGAGCACGTAATGCGTATTATAGCGCACAGGGAGTGAATAGGCGCGGATCGGACGTGCTTCCCACACGTGTTCGCCACACTGGGTCACTGTATTTCCCAGTCACGCGTGTTCGGCCCGGCTGTTTTCGCCATCTTCGCCGCATCGTTACCGTCTCCCACATGTGCAACACGGGACCACCTCCGGCACGTCCGCTCCAGCGATGGAACAGCCGGGACTCTTCCGGTCATTGTCGCCCGGCGACACGCTCGGCGAACCGTTATCGGGGTCTCTACTTTCTTTCCATCGCGGGAAATCCCGCGGCGAATCTGTAAAAAAAAATCTCAAGCCCCCCCCTCTTTGCGGACTTGACTTGAGAAAATCGGATTCTCGCGATCTCTTAAGGCAATCGTTCCGCTTCTGTCGGTTGCCTCAACGCCATAAGCTTCCATTTTTATTATATCGCCGATATATCGCCAGACCGGATGTCCCTCTTTTTCTCTCTCTTTCGGTTGGGCGGATATTTTCTTGCGCCACCGTTTCCTCCACGGTACAATAAGACGCGGGAGGCGAATATCGCGATTGCAGCGGCCGCCGTCTGCTTTCGAGGGCATCGGGAGAGAAGTAATATCATGAATCGAGGTCTATCCGCACCTCCTTTCGCTCGATAGTGATTGATTGTAGCATTGAGAATATCGAAAGGAGCAGAGGGAAGCACTCGTTTCTCGCGTTTTCTTTGTTCGACTCGTATTTTCGTAGCAAGATTTTATCGACGAAACATTTTCTTTCCGTATCTCTCCGTAATTTTCTTCGCTCTCAAGAGTCGATTCGCAGCAACGGCTCATTGTCAGTTCGCGCGAATTCGCCAAACGCATAATTCACGTGCGATATAAGCCATTACACGCGCATCGCGCGCGTTAATAAGCTTAATTAAATTGAGCGATCGATCGTAGGATAAGCACGCGAGTGTTTAAAAACAGTATGCGTCGCGTAGAACGATATTCCGACGATTTTCGTAGCTGTATTTGTTCAGAATTTAATTATCGCAAACACCTGCGAGATGCTGAGTGAAAGGGAGGAGGCGAACCGGTGAAAATTTGACATTCAGTGATACGCGAGGCGCGACGCGCTGCACGTGACATCATTAACGAATGGCCCTGAGCAAGATCGCGCCTTAATTTCCTAATGGACGACAACAACGTGTGTACTACGGTGCGTGCCGGTGGGATTTAATCGGCGATCTTACCTGCGATCCAGGCGGTCGAGCACGAACGAGGCGTCGCGCTCGATCGCGCCTCTGTCGAAGCTCGAGCTGTGTAATCGACGATATCATCGCGTACCGTCATTAATGCACGGTGTGTCAGGGACGATCGATATTGCATTTCCAATACCGTAGCCTTCGTAGATGCTGAATTCATAATCTCTGCCAAGGAAACCTGTACATGCGCGAAGAATGTCTTACAGGGAAAAGTTGTGGAAAGTTGAAAAAATGATGAAAGCATATAAAGAGAATGTATAAAGAGTATCTTGAAAAGTAATAACTTTGCTCTAGTTTGCTTTCAGAAGTTAAAATGAAAGAAGTAGACTGTTTTTCGGTCTATTTTATTTCCTTCGAAAATTAAAAGAAAAATAGAACTAAAAATTGTTTAAATAGTTATTTACAAATTGTTTATAATTATCTAAACGTTGTTAGCTACGTTCAAGAAATTTATTAGCCAACTTTCTTCAGAGTTTTTATATTTAAAGTAAAAAAATATATAAATATTGAAAAATATATATAAATATTAATAGAGATGAAAATACATAAATATTAATAAATATTGAAATGTATAAATATTACATGCAAAGTTTATTATATATAAAATAATAAAATATACATATATAAATGGAAAAGATCAATTCTCGAAGATTGGATTTCGTTTAATTAAATTTAATAAACAAAAATTACTCATCAAAATATTCTACATTCTCAAAATGTTATAGGTTTTCGAATTTTCCAATCGGACGTTTTCTTTATTCGTTGCTCCTCGTCCGTGCGAATTTCTATTTCGTCTATTTTGGCGAGCACGAACACGTTGCATCGTTGGAATGCAGATGACTGCGTAGCCGCATTCCCGTGTCAATACATCATATCATAATACGTCGTTGCTTTCGCGCGCATCGAAGTGCGTCCTTGACGCGGCTTCTCCCGCAGGAGAAAGCGTTAATTGCCAGATAATACTGGAGCTTATTTAATTAGCCGTTGGAATACGGTCTATTATTAAAGACAACACCGGGGCCGTACAAGATCGCGCGACATATGGATCTGTGGAAATTCAATTCGATATCCTCCTCGCGATACGTATCGCATTCCGCTCATTCCAAGCCGCAATCATTTCGCGATTTACGAGAAACGACAACAAAACCGCGCTGTTTTCGCGTGTCCGGGCACAATGCCGGAAGTTTGAACTGCGGAAAAATCAAAAACCCAACTGGAAGAGCGAACGTAAAATTTTTATCGCGCGCATCAAACGGGGCTTTCTAGAGAAAGCGAAAAGTTGACGCACACAACCGTGGCTTCTCGTGGCGGCAGAACGAAATTTCCGTATTTTATCCTTGCTCCTTTTCCTAAAGCGGATTATCTCGCTTCGAAATTTTTCGCTAATTAAACATTTCGCCGACGGCATCCCTTGGTATAAAATAATTGCTTAATTAATAATGTCGAATATGAAAGGCTGAGGATCAAATGCATCGTCGATTGCAATTGTGACGAAAGTTGTTTAATTCTTAGATTGGCATATCAGATTTTAGTTACAGCGAATATTTTACTCGTAAAAATTGTTAAAATAAATTTTAATTATATAATTATACAAAAATAATATAATATTAATATTTATACTTATATAATAAATATTTATATTTATTATGTATAAATATATTATATTATTTTTTATAAACTATTTAAATACATAAATATTTATATTTACACATAATATTATTATATCAAATTAAAAATTATTAATAAAACTCACTTTTTATTTTAACGTTAAATTTTTTTTCCCCATTTAATTTTGAAATAGAAAATATTTATAGGATTTTTATACTATTCATAAAATTCATAATATTTATTGTATTTTATCAAAAATTTTATTGTTTATATAATTAATTGCATTGTTAAAATTTAGTATGATCCTTTTTTATATTCTGTTTATTTTTGTTATAAATGTATTTAGTTTACACATTGTTTATGCAATGGTACTTTACAAAACTTTCGATCGACTATTGTGAGGAATTTCGTGACAGAAGAGAGATTATTGAAGGATATATAAAGGATATCTCGTTTATAAAAATTTACTTTATTTACTTTATGAAAATTAAAAAAATTTCATATACCAGTCTCAAAATTAAATAAACTAGATATCTATAATATCGTTTACTTTCCAATTTTTTCATTTCTTCTTTGGAAATATTTTTAAAAGATTCGAATTATTCGTTATCTTATTTATTAAGTTGTTAATATTTTTTGTTACAGGTTGCCGGTTCGATAATCGGCAAGGGTGGCCAAAACATCACCAAACTCAGGAGTCAGGTAAGCTTTTGCGCTTCGATTCGTTTGTAATTTCGCTGTAATTTTGTTCCTGTCTTTGTCTGTCTTGAAGCTCTTTACTACGAGCAAACACAAGAAAGATAGTGGAAGACAAGGATCGCATAAATAATCGAGCGGAAGATCGTAAAAACTGCCTCAGCGATACACTTTAAAATACATGCTATGTACGTGTATTGTAAAGCGACGCGTTTTTCCGATCTTTTGACTACGTTTGTGCTTAGTTCTAATTCCATGTCGAATTTTCAGTTGATTGAGAGTCATTTTTTTGTTCCGTTTACCAAATTTTCCGGTAATCGCTTAATCAGCTGCTATTATGTCATATATTAATTAAAAAATCGCGGCTTGCATTTTACTTTTCTCGCGCACCGTCTATGGATCGATGACACGAGTGCCTGTAACGTAATTAATCCTTTAGCTCCCTTGAGCCTTTTAACATCGTTTGAATCTAAAATAATTATGGTTTATACGATTATAAGGGGTACACAGAGCGGTAGAGGGTTGATACGGAGAAGATTCACGTAATTTGTGTAAAGAACGCGAAGCGTGACAGAGAGAGGGAAAGAGAGGTAGACAGAGAGACAGAGAGAATTACTGCGCGTAAAAGGCTTTATTGCGAGAATTTGTTTGGCCAGGCGCTCGTCTCGTTCTCCAAAGACATTCCCAGTACGAGCTTCATTATGCATTTGGTTCCCGAAACATGGGGGACTGTTTTCCTCGTCTCCCGTGTATATCTCGCGCCGTATCAATATTTCATGAGACATTCGTTATTTCTCGGTTACAAGGAAGGTGGACGTTTGCTTGCTTCGATTTTTATTTTTGCGCGTCGTAAACCTAAAAGTGAAAATTGCACGTTCGCGATGATCGATGACGAGAGAGCTCGTCCTTCCGCACGAAATCGTCGACGTGACGATTTCCCTTCGAGATCGACGAATCCTCTCGTCTGCGCGCGATCGATCGTCCGATGACTTAATGTCGCGATTTACATTACGAATCTGAATCTCCGAATGTTCATGTTTTCAACGAGCGGTCGGCATTTGAACCTGTTTGAACCAAATGAGTACATGAATGTGCAGTACACGATAGCAACACGATCCGCGAATTAAAGTCATCTTTGTTAGCTCTGTGACTCGCAATCAATTCAACCGACTGATCGACTCGAGTCTTTGATGTCATTGCAACTTTAGAGATCGTTGCAAAATCGGCGGATATCACACGAGGACGAAAATATAAGCGTCTGCGTAATTAAATTTTTTTACGAAGGAATTTGTTTGTAGAATATCTATATTTTCTTACAATCTCCTTATAAATTTAAGATATATCCACCGATTTTGTTGCTTGAATTTATCGTACACGTAATTCGATTTTCCGCGATAACATATCGATAAAACACATCTCCGCTGAAATAGCTCGAAGGGGGGGGGGAAGGGGGAAGGCATCGCATAATCATGTCCTTTGTAGTACATGTGTTCGTAATCGCTAATAAAGTCCGCGATACATGATTATATCATTACATTACTCGCATTGTCATCTCCCAGAGTCACGATAAGGGCCTCAACGGAGGAGGAGAGGGGGGGGGGTTTCGAGTGCTTTAGCCGCGAATAATCGAGCTGCGATGCTAAAGTGCACTCGGTGCGGGAAGACAGAAGGTTAATCGCGTTAATGTCGTGCTTTAATAATCGTGCGGTTGTGACATCGTCGCAAATGACGAGCGTGCACCTCCGTCACGATTCTACGCCGAAGACGAGGACCGCACGTCCAGTCAATTTATCGTTATCGTGCGCACGCACGATATCTTTCGACTTTTTTTACGAGATTCGGGTCTCGATACCTGTCGACACGAGCGCGTCCTTCTCTCGACAGGACACAGTGTCTTCTAGTGCAAATGGAAGAACGTGCGAGAGAACGTGCGTATCTATCGCTGAAGCAACGAGATTCCATGCGTGCTCCGAGATGGATACAGTACTCTGGGAATAATAATTGCGCAGAAATAATTGGAAAGATCCTTTAGATAAAATCTTTAAAATTGACAGATGTCGAATATATAATCGGATAGCGAGAGATTTTTATTATTCGTATTATTAATTCATGATTTTTGTCCTTAATTAATGCGATTTGCTCGACGGAACGAATATCAGTCGTATAAATTATCGGTACAGTAATGAACAAGTAATTAATTTAATGGAATCGAGATCTTAAATTTATATATTACACGAGATTCGTCGACCACTATTCCCGAAGAGTGCTGTATCCGAGAAAATTATTGGAGAGGATCTCTCGACGATTCACTTCCAGTTTGCGTTGCTATTCTGACGGCCTTCTCCGAAACTCTCTCTACGCGAAATCTCTCGTCGCTTTGTGAAGTTTCGCGATTCGAGCGCGAACGCTTCGCAAACTTCCGTGAGCGACAATACGCTTGGCGTTAGAGGGCTGCTTCGAATGTGCGTAGAAAAATATTGGGAAGTCGTATGACGCGAGGAGCCTTTGCTCGTGCTGCAATTGATAGATACCTTTTGCCGCGTACAAATACGAGTAGCAGATAATAGATATTTGAAGAACGATCGGAAGAGATACCGTATCACCGCTACAATTTTTCGATTCTTTCGAAGAATAGACGGCGAGGTTACTTCCATTCGCAAGTATCTGTCGCAGCAGCCTCGTTTCTTCGCGAAAGTTTCGCGATCTACATTGATAAAAACTTTCCGAGCGGTTATCAATTACACGCACGAGGCTCGCTCGCAAGAGTCGGGGACGGCAGACGCTTAATAGACCTCTTAGCTTGAAAATTAAAAATTCGCTTGATCAACGACACTTCGTTAGCAATTAAAATATTCCACGGACCGCTACGTAGAACAGACGTCAATTAAGTGTCGCGCCGGGAGAGGAAAATTATTCGAGTGCGCCTTCGGAATTCTTAATGGCTTCGAGGGGACGAGGGGGGGGGGGGGTCGGACGATGCCGACCGCGGTCTTTGCCGAGATGATACGTCTGTCGGTTAAGCATTTCCTCGAAGAGAAAAGTCGCGATAAGACTCGGCGTTACTTTGCGAGCTATCGGCGATTGCGTTACGAATCTCGCGAAAGAATCAACCGTTCTCGAGACTTGAAACTTTAATCGAATAATCGCAAGCTTATTGCGCGAATACGAAACACGGCAATTCTCGCACTGAGAAAAATCGTTTGATTATTGTACCAACAAGACGTATTTGATTGAAGGCATTTAATCAAACAAGAATTTCTAGGAATCATGATAAGATTCGATTTTTTATAACTAGAACGTTTCATAGATTTTACTATAAAGATTTGGTTAGTATTTCCTGGTTGGATCTATCAAATTTCTTGTTACATTAATTTCTTTACTTGTTGCTTAACTTGACTCGTATTCAATATTTAACATAAAATGTATATAAAGAGAACTAGTATTAATATTAAATCCCAAGTATATTTTTTTTTCTCTTACGAGCAGTGCCAGAAAGAGGACGCTGACTCTCTGATTGTGTGTGTTTGAGCCGCATCCTCTTCTTGCATCGCTGTTTATCAGTTTAATTTCGAACGAATTGAATTGAAAATAATTTATTCAATAATCTGGATTGAATTTATCCAATAATCTTGTTGGAATTCAGAATATTAAACAGACTTTTGAGATTAGATGGAAAAAATTTTAGACGACTTGGTGCTGGCTTTAGTATTATTAACTAGAAAATTTGATAAATTCAACAGGAAGAAATTAATCAGATTCATCTGGTAATTCCTACAAGAATTCTAGTTCGTTCATTTTCCAACAGACATACTGGTTGAATCTATCAGAATTCTAATTAATGCAACCAGATTGTTTTCTCAGTACGAGACGCGATTTTGCGCGAAAAACACAACAGGGAGATATTTATTTGAAATATATACAAGCACGATGGTTTTTCTGTTACTCGACTTGCCAATATTTTTCTCGCCCTCTCGCAACCGATCCAAAGACAACGACGAATGAGAAAGGGGGTGGAGGGAAATGGGGAAAGACGGGGGTGAGTCGGTAGAGCGGAGAAAAACGCGGACGGGAAGGAAGGGGGGTTAGGAGGTTAAGCCGCGAATTAATCCAGTCGTCAGACGTGATGTCTAACTTGGTTGATGGTTTGTGCCCTGGCCCCGCCCCAACCCCGGCGTTGCCCCCCTGGCGTTGCCCTGCCGTTGCCCTGCCGTTGCCCTGCCCGGAACGACGGACCCCGACTCGATCGGCAAATGGACCACCACGACCCTACCAACAATCGACAACAACCACCAACCAACCACCAATGAACCAACCACCAACCACCATGGCCCAATCGACAGTACAAAGCCTCAATCATTGTACCCGATTGCCCCGGACCCGAACGGTAATGACCAACACCAACTACTTAATGTTCTTATTTTTCTTTGTCTCTAATTACGAGGTACCTATTAAGAACGCCTGCGGAATCTGGCGAGCAAACAAATATCTCTTTCTGTCTTTCTCTTTCTCTCTCTCTATCTTTTCTATATTTTCTGTATACATCATGATTAATTTTCCGCCTTCTGTAATCTATCGTACTCTTTCTCTCTCTACTGTGCTTTTTGTTCCTCTTTCTCTCTCTCTCTCTCTCTCTCTCTCTCTCTCTCTCTCTCTCTCTCTCTCTCTCTGTCTAATTAGCTGTTTACCTATTTATAGAAATTTATTCTTTTATCTGTCTGTTCATTTCTGTTAATTTGTCTAATTTTTTTTCTGTCTCGTGCATCGTATCGTCTTTTTTTCTGCCAACATGTTTCGTGTTAACGCGACGACCACTTACTTTTAATATGTTGCCTATCATACGTTTCTCTTCTGTGTATTTCGGTAGAATTTTATTTTTTGAGCGTGTGTCTTTGAGCTATTTTAATCGCGATTAAGATACATCGCGGGAGGAGCACATTTTTCGGAGCGGAATATTTCAAAATATTCTATGTCTATTTTTCGACGCACATTAGAGTTAGTGCATTGAATTTGATTCGTTATTGAAGAAACTGCGTTTTCGATTATCTCGAGCGACGTCGCGAAAAACCGCGAACGTCCCACGAAATTAAGACAATTATCTTTAAGAGTAGCGTGTTCTCTTCTCGTACGGCTTCTGAGAAATCGTGATCGCAAGAGTGAAAGCCGCTGGATGCAGCGTCGCGACTGCACCTGCCGTTGGCACGTGATTGCGTGAATCGTTTGTGTCGTCGGGACACGCGGCGTTTCGCGGATTAGATTCGATTCAATCTTGCTTCATCGACGAAGAAAAAAATTTTAAATCATACCGAAAAATACAAGCCAATGCGTCATCGGCAGTTTCCTCGTTAGATTTTTCGCAGTCGAAATTTCGCGCGAAAACGCGTTTTTTCTACGCACCTAGAACTACGGGAGATAAAAGAATATCTTGCAAATTTTTTTTTAAACATGCCTTGCATGCACGGGTGGTCTGAAAATCTACATTATCCGTGTACTTAATTCTCGACGTACTTTGCATAAAAAAATTTTGTTGATTTTAAAAATTTTCTTTTTCTTTTTTTTTTTTTCTTTTTCATTCCCTTTATCTTTTCTCCTCTCACGTGCGCTATCTTTCTCGTTTTATTATTATTATTATTATAATTATTGTTATTATTATTATTATTATTATTTGATTTTTCCTGCGTAAGCGCCACGTGATAAGACGTGCGCGATATCACTCGACACCCATACACGTTTATACACACACGTACGATGTCGGGGATATGTTTTAAACGGTGTCTGTAATATGTGGCTAACACGGAAGCTAATATGTGTGACGCACGCGGCCTTAAGGCCGGCTCAATGTTAAGGGTTGTAACTCAAGGTGTTGTTATCGCGTTGAAAAGAGCTAGATGTAGCGTGAAATAAATATCGAGAGGTACGTATTTTTTTGTTTTCCATTTCCAATTAAGATGAAGAATGAAGCGCGAGAGCTAAACTTTAAATGACAAATTGACGGGATCAAAGTATTAGCACTTTCAACGCGACAAAATGCCTTCGTTCTTTAGATACCTGGCCTCGATAAGTGGTAGTCTTCCATTAGAAATACTCCGACGTTGAGTAATTAACACGCCAAGTCGAAAGTCATTACCAGTACACAATTAATGCCGCGCGCTCGATGTGGATCCCGTCGCAGAGAGAAGAGAAAACACTCTGACAATGACAACTTAAGCTTAATATAAAGCCACAGCGTGGCCGGGTGATCGTCGTCCACCTCTTCGCGCACGATTACACGATTTTAAGATGGGTATATCGCGGATCTCGATCCACACACCCGGTCGGTCGTTCCCTTTTCCCCCAAGAAATTATGTCGCGCACGCAGGTATTAACGGGAAATTTATCTTCGTCCTGGGACGGCAATAAATTTTTTTACCGCCGACGATAAAGCTTCTCGAGGATGCCCCTAATGCGATTTCTATTCGCGGCTGTACGATCCGGCCGGGAATTTCGCCGACACGTAATAAAGGCACTTTCGAATTGAGAAAGATCCCGGAATAATCCGCGTGACAGCGATAGCTGGTGTTTTTACACTCGATACAACGAGCGGATGAAAGACGGAATGTCTCAGAGCAGGCTTTTTGACGCGGCGAAACTTTTAAGAATCTCCCCGGTTGATTAATTGCTTTAAGGAACTTGTTCAAAGAGATAACGTTATACGTAGCTTTTTTTTTTTCGCTCGATCGTCATTGTCCGCATAATTGATTCATAGCCCAATCGCTGTCGATAAAACGATGACACGCGTGAATGATCGAATTTCTTCTACGTTTTCCATGGAATCGCGATTCCCACAAAACATTCAGCTTAGAATTCCCCAACGTTTTATACGTCACAAAGTCCAGATCACTCGTGCAGATCTCGGATAGTTTTCTCTTTCTCTTCCCTTCCCTCTCGTATAGCGCAGCGCAATCGCAAACGCCTGCCGTCAAAGTCTTTCGCGAATCTACGTGTGCGTTTCCTGCGATTCTCCAAGGGATGACTTTCGACCAGCCGACTCTGTAACTATCCGCATATCATAACGCCATAGCTCCTCGATTTAGCTTCTTTAGAAAGTATTGCACCTGCGTGAATTACGTATCTCAGTCTCGACTTTTTAAATCGGAGTCGATTCGTGTAATTCATCCTGTTTTGTCCTCAAACTGGGTTGTAAGTAGAAAGAGGTGATGGCATTCGCTTTCGCGATCGAGAATGTCGCCGACTAGGAAATTCCTTTAGGAATTTTCATCAAAATGCACGTGAAAAAATCAGTGTAATCGACACGTAATATAAATACACTTGCGTCGAATATACGCAGAATTATAGAGGTGAGAAAAAATTAACTGAAATTGCAAGGTTGCGCAACAGGAAGGAAATCATTCTCGACAAGAGTGCGAATGATTCGCGAGTCGAGTCGCCGATCGGATGCTTCTCTAAGGACGATTACTGAAGAGAATATACGCGATCTCGGTGACGTATCCATTGAAATGGAAGGTACGATTTCGACTTGTTATAACGGGGGAGAAAAACGCGAAACTGGACGACGAGGAGGGACGATTGATGGAGAAGGACCGATGAGAAAGAAGTCTCCATTTATCTCCTCGTATCGATTGGGATGGATTCGTGCCGATTGTCGTTTCGAAGAGTCCGCGTTTGTTTTCGATCGCGAGAGACGATGGCAAGAATCTCTACGCGTTCCTTAAAACTACGGAGGAAGAAATATCGTCGTCCCTCTTTCGAAAGTCGCGTCGATAAAAGGACGGGGCAAAAACGAATAAGTAGAAAATCAATCGATTTCAATTATAATTTGAAATAAATAAGATTGTTATCCTGCGCGGAACAAAACAGCTTTTCGAAACTCTTGGATTTGCCGAGGATGAATAAATCTTCAAACAAAGTTGAAACACGAGAACGGGATTAAGAGAAAGAGGGGGACGATATTCGAATCTCTTCCGCAAATCGTTTTCAGCCACGATCGGTATGAATTATCCTGGACGAATTGGACCGGCGGTGTTTTTCGCGACACGGTGTAATTCGCTCCGGTCGACGTCGCACGTAAACACGATCGAAGTTGGGTGGATGTAGATCGGGAAAATAGCACGAGCGAGGACGAATCTTACGCGATATCGATCGCGAATATTTCAGCTCTTATACGCGAAAGCATCAAATCATATGCCATGTTGAATGCGAGGAAATGAGTTCATCGTGAAATAATTTGCAATCTTTTTAAAATTCATTCAAATGATTGATTTAATAACGCACCTTCGTGCACAAGGAGCATGCGGAATATATTCAATCAACTTATCGTACGTTAAACGTCTCTTAGGTCTCGATTCAATATTTATAGCCGGCGCTTCGATGCAGCTAATTTTTGAAAATTCGTTATCCACGTAGCTATTAATAAAGAATGGTGTCACAATTTGGCGGCCGCATCCGCGTTAGAATCGATAGGGACGTAATGGCGTCGGTTTGCGGTGCCCGCTGTGCTAATCGCGTGCAACGAACGCTGCTGCGGTACATCGAGCGTGACGCATTGGGGGATTGCCATTAAATTTTTATCGATTTTAGCCTGTAAACCTTTCGTCGTGTCGCGCGACATTATTTCATCATTAAGTATCGGGCAAACTCTCAACTGTCACAATTGAATTTAAAACATACGGAATAAAATATAACGTTTAGTAATGCGTACATAAAGCTAAATATTACGATCGAATGTGACGTGTATTAGAGCATGCATCCAACTTCGATCGACCCACGCGCATTTAATTACTCCCTACTCCATTGGAGACGTGTTGGAATTTCACCGGCGCCGTTGTTCAAAGCGCGCTAACGGGTGACCCCGAAGTACGTGTAAGGGAAGAGGGGGGGGTGAGGGGAGGAAGGGTTTTGGCATCACTGGTTGATGTAACACACGCGAACGTCATTCGCACGGGACTGTATGGTCAATAGCACGTACGCGAGAAATTACGCCGCCTGGTAAGGTCAGTGTAATTCTGGGGATCCTTCTGATTCTAGGGTGCTTACCATCAGCTCGGACCTGCCTACCGTTTTGCAAGTGCTGAACGAGGTCGTACCTAATTTAGAAGAGGTGAGTAAGCTAAATTTTTACCCTTATTTGCCTCTTTTTTGTCAAGAACCACGATGAGGACCGAGAAAGAAGGGATATTTTCAGCATATTTTTCTTAATGCAAAGTAAATTATTATATAATATATAACTTTGTAAATGATAAAATTTTATTAAAAGATGATAATAAAAAACTGCTGGTTATTAAAGTTGCAATACTACACACGCACCTACACAGTTGCAATTTTAACGGCTAGCAATATATATATATATATATATATATATATATATATATATATATAAAAGTTAGTATTATTATAAAAGTGCTTTTGCAGCTTGCTAACAGACTACTTTGGCTTGTCGGACTACTTAAATAATTTGAAAAAGAAAAGAGTTTATATTATACAGAAGTTATATAAATATAACACTCTTATATTTATATAATTCAAAACATATTTAAGGGAAAAAGGAATCTTTAAAATAAGAATAAGAAATCTTTATTAAAAATTTCCTTTCCCTTTTAGCACACAAGAGAAATATTTCTTTTTCGGTTCTTATTTCTCGTGGTAAAATATATAATAACGTGTGTTTTCTCGTAATGAAATTAATGATGAATAATCTCGCATAACGAGGGGCATGTAGAAATAACGTATTGAAATTTCCACGATTTATTGTAGACACGATTTCAGAACGGCTCCCGTCATGGCAGCGACGAGATCGACGTGCGCATGTTGGTGCATCAGAGCCAAGCAGGATGCATCATCGGCAAAGGAGGTCTGAAGATCAAGGAGCTTCGCGAGGTGAGTCACTTACTCGATAATTAGTCACGACTCATGAGACGATATAACTCGTTTCTCTCGAGCAAATGTTGCGCCACGATATTAATTTCGCTGCGGGTTATTGCGTTTTGGCGACTTCGAGAAACGAGAGAGGACGAAGCGCAAATTGGAAACGGAAACGATGCGAGTGTCGAAAAACATACACTGAAATCCTTTCTTTCATTTTCCAACTTGTACGTCAACTTGCCGGATATTTAATTTGTCAATTTATGCGTAACGTCAAAGTGATGACGCAACAACTTGGAAGTAAAATTCAGACCTCTCGTTGAAAGTGCTTTTATTTGATTAACAATTCAGCGGCGATCGCACCTTTCCATCTCCGTGAACGCAAATACCGCGATCGGTTTTTAAACTTTAAAGCGCATATTGACTTATTAACGAAGAGCGAGACAGAAAACTCGAAACTTTGAAGTTTACAATATTTATCGAGCTTTCCTAGGATTAATTATAGGCACAAGAGAATTTCATATCGCGACAACAATTCTAAGACAATATTTCGAGACACGGTGTAGATCGTAACGTTGTACAGATCGCCGAAAAAATGTCGTCGTTTGATAGAAAGCGGCGTGGCCCGTTAAAACGACAATTAAGTTCCCTTTAATTAGCCATCTTTCTCCGACATGGCCTTGATTTTACATAACGAGCTTTATACTCTGGTCTGAGTCTTCCCGTTAAGGACTCGGCCTGGCTGGCTGATTGTGAATAGTTGGCCCGTTCTGAAATATGCAACGTGACCAAGTGGCTTGTTACGTTTTCGCGTTGACGAGAGAAACGAAACCGAATGTAGCCGGAGCTTTTGTCCCGCTTCGAATCGGTGAACGCTCGAGCCGCGTCAAAGTGCTGTGGACTTTGTGCAGCTTCCTTCGTCTGTGTCATCGTCTCTTTTTCCCTTCCTCTTCAAACGATTCCGTCCATCGTTGTTCTTTCGTCTCGTGCCCGACGAGACCTCGTCGTCGACGTTCGTGTATTCGAGAAGTCGATATCTGGGAAGCGATCATTTGACGGCAACCATTCTTTTTGCGGAAGACTGTATTATTTATTGCAGATTCAAATACGAGGCGAGAGCAAATACGCGGATGAAACGGAATTAAATAATAATATTTTTCAAAATTTTAATTGGCTGTTTGTAGCGGTGCGTGTTGCTTAATTAATCAATTATGAAAACCCGCAAGAGTTTTTGTTTACCGCCATATTTCTCCGCTATATTGCCGTCGTTACCCGCTTGCGAGGCAAATTTAGCAAATTCCATATGGCGCCTGTATACCGTGCAGCGTGGAATAACGTTGTTTGGCAATTTGCTGAAAACTTATTTCTAATTTCGTCAGCTTTAACATCAGCTCCCCGGTGAAGAGCAGTCGAGATAATTAGTCTATTAGAGCTTAGTTAACTGCTGCGTCAGGTAATGCATTTAGACGTATTGCTCGAGGGGAAAGAAGAGTCGGAACAATCGAGTTTTCAAACATTATCGATGACGCATAAAATGATAAAGATAGATTGGGATGAGTTTCAATCGATCGGAAACAATTTTTACCTTTATCTTCAAAGTGTGTTATCTCGTGCATCGCACGAGCTTTAAACGAGAGAAACTCTTGCTTTTACGGATAAATCTCGTTTAGCGAAAAATATATAACAAAATTACTTTAAACTTCACTATTAAAAAAAAAATCATGCGTGATGTGACGATAATGAAAGCAGCGAATCAGGCGGGCCCTGTATCTCTATCCCCCTCAAACAGAGGGGGACGAAAGACGCGGCACCGCCACTCGGCGACATCGCCGAACCGTTTTATTTCGATTCGCGGGGGCTGGTAGGGGTAACTTTATTGATTTCGAACGGGATTCCGGCGCCCTCTTTTTTTTTTCTTTTTTTTTTTTTTCTTTTCCATCGCGTCATCGGGGATTCCCGCCGCCAGAAAACTCGCGGCTTTCCCGATTCGGGAGAGATAAAGATACGAACGGGATTGTTTATTATTCCGCACAAGTGCGACGCGCGCAATTGTCCTGAATTCTGCTCTCTTCGTCCTCCCCGAACAGGGGGAGGGGGAGGGAGCTGTTTCTGCCTTCGTTGTGGCTGACTTTGGGAAACGCTTTGGGGCAGAGATTGTCGAAACGCGAGCGCAATTCCAAATCGAGACTCGTAATTTTCTTGGCAAATTTGCCGACTGACCGAATTCGCTATATTTATTTTCGCCAATTATTTCGCGGTCGACTCAATTGACGTATCCGCGAAACGACGAGGATTACGAACAATCGGGATTCATCGACCGTTCCGAAGCGGGAGGTTATCGTTTCTAATTAACCCCTTGAGCTGCAGTCGCTCAACAACAAATTGATTAATCGCGTTAGCAATTTTTATCGACGATATAACTTTAGAAATATTTGCGCAACGGAACATTTACAAACAAAAATCGATTTATGCGGTTGAATTTTTTTAGAATGTACCGCGCGTGTCTCGTTCAAAATTTGTCGCATTCGTTGACGACTCTATTCTCATCTCTTATCGAGACGGAATTTCTTCACGACCCACATAAATAGAATGACTGATCGGTCCGGGTATTCTTTGGTGACAACGTTCAAAGGACGAAAAGAATAGGAGAAGAACGAAACGAAAAGGAGAAATATGCATGACATAAGTCATGGCGGTGACACGAGACACGATGCAGTCGTATCTGAGTACGATGCGAACGCGATGGTACATTTCGAATTTTCAAAAAGATTCGAGAAATACGACAGCTGAATGAGTCATCGATTTTATCGTGCAATTTTTTATTTATAGCGCAGATTATTTTTTAAATGTGCATTAAAGCCGCGAGGGTGGAATCTGTCAAATAATTAGGAGGTACGATTTCTTCTATAAATTTTACATCACGCATAAAATTTATATACGCTATTGTTACACTAAAAAAAAAAAACGTTGCGACAGACATCGGTGATAAATCCAGCGATACGGCCGAGATAAATTTAATTTTGCAAGGCTCACTTGTTATCTTCGAACTCGATAATACACCGTGTAGAATTCGTCGCGTTCGACAAAACAAACGCGGTTTGGTCAACAGGAAAAATAGCGAATATCGATTCGATGAAATACCAGCGATGCTTCTCCCCGATTTGCGTTCGCGACAAATGGATCGCGTTACGCGAGATTAACGCGAGTGAAATGTGGTTGCATTCTTCGTTTTCGAGAAGGGACACGGCAACATGAGCGGAATAGAAGCGTATGCCGTATTAAGCCGCGAGGAGGCCATATGTGTCCACTCACTAGCTGATCATTAAGCGCTCACGATGCAGCTCATCGTCGCGTGCTAACCACACGTGCGTGTCGCCCGGAAGGCGCAGCCGACGTGTCCGCGTATGTCCATAACCGCATGTGCGATCTACATACACGGGTGGCGGGTGGAAATTGCATAGCCTCGCAATTGCCACGTCGCAGTCCATCTTCTCGTCGATGCGTCATTCGCATTAATTCATCAAGGAATCGATGGCAAGGCTGTCGGTTTGACTCGAGAAAAATCGCTCGCAACAGGTAATGCGTCATGTCCTTTTTTTTCTCGCAAATGAAAAACATCTTAACGTCTCTTGTGACTTTGTACGACGCATTTTTTTCGCACCTGATATTTTATCGACTTTAGATTCTCTTTATCGCGATAGTCGGTTCGCGAAAAAATTTTTTCGTGGGGAGAGTTTCGCATTTAAGGATGTTTTGTACTCGTATGTACAATCCCAGCAAAAAGTAGCTGAAAATCAATATTGAATGTCCACTTTTGCTGTATTTTGAGTATGAGAAATTGTGTGGAATATTACAATTTAATTTTAACTGCAGTGCAGAGATTTTTTAATATTTATTGCGTTTTTACTGAAATATTCCGAATTTTGTTAATCGAAATAATTAATTTTTGGCAGAGAATTTCGCCTTGTGGCAGATACATGGCTAACTTGATCGAATTATATTTAATATCTTTTTGACCAGTTAGCACTTGTATAATATTATTTGACCAAATATTTCCTCTGTATCTAAACTTTTGCAAATTTTTAACAAATTCTGAATATTATTTCCATGTGTTTTTATCATTTAAATCGACGTGGTTATAAGAACACATGTTAATTCGGTGCAAATTAAAATCCTTATAACTTGTGAACGCTTTAGTGAATCGATTTAAAAATTGTACTGAAGATTTTAAACATATGTAAGGACATTTCGTACAATTTTCATTAAATTCTCAATCTTTTGAAAATAGTACAAAACGTTCTTAACGGACGAACAGAAAAGGGCGATGTACCGGAGGTTTTAACGGACAGGGGCGGGTAAAAAAAGCTTTTCGAGCGAAACTCGAAATTAATTCCGCGAAGGTACACCAGATAATTATGCACACGCGATGCCTTTATTATCCGCTGACGCCGTTTAGTCTGCGACGACGTGTTGTACGAAACAAGGTGGTACAAGAGAGGAAGGGAGAGCGATATGCGTATGTTGCATCGTAACTATGTGAAACGTGGCTTTCTTACGCATCTGATGTTTACACGATCTTTTTATCTCGTGACATTGTTTTTTATAAGTCTGTATCAAAGAGCAAGAGAAGGAAAAACAAAATTAATTTATATAAAACTATTAAATGGAAAATTATCATGTTATGCATATCTTTTCCTTCTCTCTCTCTCTCTCTCTTTCTCTCTCTCTCTCTCTCTCTCTCTCTCTCTCTCTATCTGAAACCTGTCATGATTAAAATAGATTGATCAGTCAACTCATACGCGTATTATACTCGCGGATCAATTTCCATCGCGCAATATTATAGACAGATGTTATTATTGCGAACGAATGCGATCGACGTAGGCAAATATACATGGTCGAAATAAACTTGCTAGTGTTTCTACAACAAACGTATTCAGCGGGATGCGACACGCACAATCGCGATGTCCGATTCTCGTGGCGAGAACCATCCATTTGGCTGTCTGCGAAATATTTGC